TACAAATGGTTAACAACCAAGTGTCTGTGTGCACATATGCAGTCATGCATAGATAATCCAAACCATCAACTGTGTTGTGGGCACCTTTTTCTCTCTTTGGATTACACATATCTTCTTACATTTGCTTGATGGTCCCCTGTCTTCTCCTTTCTTTGTATTGACTCTGTTGCAACTCATTACATGGTGCCCATGGCCATATTAATAATAAATATAAACTCTCTCATATGTAGGCTAGAGTGCCATAAGGCCTTCTGTTTATTCTGCCAAGTAGGGCAGTGTTCTACATGACCAGAAACTCTTACTTTAAGCGTTATTAGTGATTTCTAGCCAAGGTTTCTCCATGACAGATGGGAGGATCCTGAGGCTAGCCTGAAACCTGCTACATGTTGTGCAAATTCAGCAATCTTACTGTAAAAGATCACTGAAACCATTCAGTGCAACACGGATTCAGCAAACCTAGCATAACAACACGCATTACTGAATGGTTATATGTGGTAGAATGTTTCGCACTGGTCAACACTTTAGACAACAGTAAATATCTATCTTTTAACCTGGCTTCACTCCCATGTACTCAACATCTCTGGCTCTCGTCCTGGATTTATTTATGGGTTAGTGGCTAACTTCCTAAAGTAGTGTAGTAGTAGTGGTAAAAAAAAAAGGGGTACATCAGTTTATTTCTGGACAATTTGTGATTACCTCTAAGATAAGGTAATAAGCCAGCTGCAGAGGAAGGGAACGTTGCCCCATACACTCCACTGTTTTTATCCTTGTTCTTCACAAAACAGTCGATAATGGAACACTTGTTCTTCACAAAACAGTCGATAATGGATGTTGCAGCAGTGTTCTTCTGTTGTCTCACCTTCTGTCGTGACAGAATTATGACTTTTCTGAGGACAAGAAAAATATCAAATACAGACATCACAAGAACCTTGTGGGACCATAAGTACATGCAAATGCATCCAATGGAGAAGAGGAGTAAACATTTTTTCCACTCTTACAGCACATTAACCATTAAATTTATTTTAATGATTATTCAACATATTGCAAAACAGTTGTCTGCTGGTGTGAGAAGCAGCGTTGGCAATGGGTCACTGTAATGAGAAAGTGATTGAACACTCCTGACACTAATTTATCCTCAGGCTTTTTCCTTATAAACAATCAACCGCATTGTAAGATTTCTCCAACTCTTTTCACAGCTGCAGTACAAAACACACTTTTCTCAAACCTATGGAGCTCACATGCATTGTCTCAGCAGACTCTCGGCTCACCCACTGCTGGTTATGCCAGGGCTGGCAGTGATGCCTGCCTGGCACATGGTCATTGACTGGAAGGCCAAAGGCAGTGTTGCTGCTGGGACAAAAGCACATTGAGACCTGGACAATGGGTAGCTGACAGTGCTGTTGGTTGTTGTATTTGTGCACTCACAAGGGTGTGTGTTTTCTTTTTCTCCCCCTCCCTCCCCCCCAACAGTGTCCTGTCTGTTATTCAGTGTCTAACTGTTTTCACTCCTTTAAGGAAAATGACGTGCTCGGTTGCTGGCATCATTAAATACAGTGTTGATGATATGATTATTTCTGTATGTCAGTGTGTAGTAAGTGTAGGCTTTGGTTCAACTTTGCTTTTGCATTTGAAGACACAGTGGATGGTTTTGGAAATAGTAGTTTATTATTATTATTATTACAGCATGACAGGAACTGATTTTGCTCTTTGTCTAAATATATAAACCATTCTTAATCAACTGCCATATCAATTTTGATCAAGGCTCCACTGATAATAAATCTGTAAAATGTAGTTGAAAGCAGAGACATGATTTGACTAAGTAACTGAAGACACTCAAAACACTCTTCATCATCTGATGTTTTCAAGACTAACAGCAATTATACTCATAATAATAATAATACAAAAACAAACAAACATCCACAGTGAAGTCTTAAAATTATCAGCTGCAGCCATGAGTCATCCCACACTGGTACATACAAGAACTGTTGGTGGTGATCTGGGGAAAATTAGACCTGACGTGAAATTATCTCTCCTCCACACTAGTCAGTTTAAGGCTAATGCAGGAGAACAGTCGACCGACAGAACAACAGACTCCTCTGGTTTAAGCTGCCGAGTAAAATCTTTCTTTGTCTTTGTCCTTCATCACGATGCTGACCAAGCATAAATTTGACCTTGGTACGGTTGTCTTTTGTAGAAAGTACTGTGTCATAAACCCTCGACTCTACACATGCATTATAAAGACAGCACACTCCCAGCATTGCCACGGACCACCATAATTTTTTTTTATTTTTTATTTTTTTTTATAATAATAAAATTATATAATTCTATACCTATTCAGCTTTTGATGCTTATAACATAGCCCACAAACGATGACAGAGGCAAGTTGGGTCATGTCCCCTTCTATTTTTTTTTTCTATCTTTGTAACTTTTATACTGTGACACTGAGGATGCAAATAGTTTTTTAAGGACAGAGCTGCTCAACAGTCAGTAGTCTTCACTGGATGATTTTGAATGTTTTCTGTAAAACTAAGAAACATTTCTTCCTCTGGACTTGGCCAACAAGGTATTTCTGACTATTTTGGTTTTGACGTCATGTTGATTTGACAGGCTTAAGAGAGTACATAAATACTCGGTAAATTGTTAGTGTTGTGAAATTGTTGCCTGACGGCACTATGTCATGAGGTAACGGCACTTTGTGTAGGTTTTTTTAAATGGTACTGTGTCATACACAGCAGTGCAGCAGGGTTTCAACAGGACAACACTGAAATTGTGAGTCAGAATCTCAAACTCTACCTGGTATTTTTCATTATTATTTGCTGCACATTGCTGGGAACATGATGATTGCAATGATTGGTTATGCCTCTGACTCAGCTCCTGGCTTTGACCTAACTGTTTTGTTTACTCTCTATGAACATTATTTTGTTTATTTTTGTTTGTATTATTTTATTTTAGTTATGCTTTTCCAATTTAAACCTCTCTTGACCCCTGCAGGAGAGAGGTGAGGAGGTCACAATGTGCATTAAGTTACTCTTCCTTTCTTCAGTGAGACATGTTTGTAGACTCCCACTTCAACTAAATAAAGAGTAAAAGGAAGATTAAGACAAAATTGCTGAGTAAAGGCGGAGAGGAACCGCCATTTATTTCCTGCAGGAATGAAATGACATGTGAATGCTCATTGTCTGTGTGGGAACGTCTTTCACAGGGATCCGTCTTCTTTTGTACATCCTAATTTTTCATGTCCACCATCTGGGTGTGAGGGCTGGAGTGCCCAGAGAGAAAAAAAATATTAGAATGCCTTCATTATAACCACTTACTATGTCGTCACCCTGCTTGTTGACGATATAAACACGACTGCAAGCCTCATGTTTTTTGTTTTATTTTTGCCTTGCGATCAGATTACTTTATGTTTGTCCCACTGCTGCTCAGACCCAACCTTTCCAATCATCCAACTGAACCAAAATTAAGAATTGATAAAGGTAAAGTGAAAACAAGCCAACAATAATAGGACAATCTAGGTTAGACACAAATGCAATACCCAATCAATATCAATATTAAGCTATATTGGTGGAGATTTGCCTCCCCTAAAGTCACATTATATTATACTTTGAGACCCTAATAATGGCACATTTTCTGCATTTTATTTCTAAAACAAACAGACTAAACAATTTTGTTAAGTAAAAGAATCAAGGTCAAAGTGACTCCCTAGTGCCCACTGGGCTTTTGCTTGAAGCTGAATTCAGCTGAATGCCTCCTTGTTACCAGATGGAGAATTCTGGACGTCAGCTTCTTCTATACATCCTCCCATAACTGGGATCCATATGGTTTTCCAGTGCAAACCAGGCTGTGTCCCTGTTTCTCTCTGTAATGCTGTGCCAAAACTGTGAGGATTAATACAAAATGGTTAATTAACTCAACTCCCTCTGCAATATGGTTTATGGTACAGTGTGAAAAGAAATGCAGTGTGTCGCCCTCACCCTCATGGTGTGTTCCACGTCTGCCCCTCTTTCTGCCTGCAGGAAAACCATCTGCTGGTTGTCAGCAACACAGGGTTCCTGTGTCGGTACTTGCCAGGTACAATTAATAAGAGTGGGATTCATTGTAAATATTTTATTATAACATATTATGTATCAACTGTTTACAACTCAGGTTGATGGAGAGTGTTGACCTCATGTTGGTAACATTCAAAACTGCATGGTTGCTCTGGTCTTTTGAGGGCTGTATGGTGGAACCATTCTCTGCAGCAGAGATGAGTTAGGTCCTGTTTTTATATTGGGTCTATGGTTAGAGCACAATTAACTCCAGAGGGATATTTAGTGTATGTCTTCTGAATTTTGTATTTTTACATTTATTTTAGTCTACTGATGAACATCATCTGAATTTACTTTTCATATTAATGCACAATTTTATTAATAAGAATAATAATTAACTTAATTTTGAGTATAAAAAAATATTTTATGCTCCATTTTTTTTGACATTGAAATGACATTCAACCCTGCCTCTGCACTACACTCTTGTAAACCTAGTCAGACCTCTGTCCAGTTTTGCCAAACAGAATGCTGTCTGCAGGGGCCTCCAGCTACTGCTGAGCTAATTAACAAGTGTGTGAGGTGCATGTTGTTTGTGTGAGGATGGTTGTGCGTGTATGAGAAGCAGGTTTTGACCTGCCTGGTTGTGTGTTTTTGCTGTCTAGTACAAGTTCACCAGGCATGAGTCAAAGCCAGAGCAGAGGTGTCGTCAACACACCAACATATGCACACACAAACTGAGAGTCAGCAGAATAACCCCAGTCAGGGCAACTCTGGGGAAATACTTTCACATTATGGATTCTGAGAAGAGACACAACAATCTTCCAGTGCTCCTACATGTATTGATGTTTCTGTAAAGTGAATGTGTGTGTGTATACAGTAAGTGGTGTTAGTCCGGTGTGTGTGCTCAGCTGCTTCCGGTGCATTCTCTACTCTACATTTGTTAGTGAAATGCTGTTGCTGCGGCAGCTTCAGGTTTAAATGTGAGTTGTTTGTTTGTTGATATGAACAGATAGAACCAAGGTTTTTACTTTAACGAAAGAGTTTAACATCAAGTTGCCTCATAAAAGTTGTGTATATACTGTATGTGTATACATATATATTGTTAATAATAAAGCATTAATTTATTTTGTGTCTTTACTATAACCTATATTCTGTATTGGTTGTGTTTGTTTGACCTTGCATGACTTTCCCTTGGTCAATTCTTAAGTCTTGTGCTGAGAATGCTCTCACCAAAAATATTTAATTTAAACAGACTGCAACATTTTTATCATAAATAAAACAAATTGCCACACATATGTTATATAGAACAGACTGCAACATTTTTATCATAAACAAATTGCCACACATATGTTATATATTATGCACTTGTAGAATTACGCTCTGGTTGGCCACAGAAAAATGAGGTAGCGGGCCGGATTGGGCCGACGGACCTTGAGTTTGACGTGTGTGCTACGTCATCATCAAAAATGACGTAGGTGATTCAACCATTTGAATAACCTGTGATCATATCCTTGGTGGCAAAAATCCATCTCTCCAGGCTCACTCTCTGTCGATTTATCTCTTGACTTTTTTCCTCCCCCGTCCCTCCTGTCACTCCTCCCCCTCCTCCTACCTGTTTCCGTCCTTATCCTTTTGCATCCTCTAAGTGCTTTCTTTTGAAGTCACTGGTTAAACTGTGAGCTGGTGTCCCACTGGAGTTTCCTTCCTCCCTTCCTGGTGTCTCAGGAGTTTAAAGAAAGGCAGCACTACTTTCTGAGCTTGTTTATGGGCACTTTGCAGCAGCACTAATAATGCAGTTTCATGACGCAGTGGAAAGAGAAATAAATTAGAAAATAAAAAGGGTGTGAACATATTTTGGCACAAAAAGGCTTATTTCAGATCTTTCTCACCAGATATAAAACTGTGACCTAAGAGAAAGTGAAAGTTATAGTGGGATTAAAAAGAAACAAAAATGGAACCGCTGATTCTGCTTCATCTAATACAACTCTCACTGTTTTACAGATGAATGTGAAACCAACAGTGAAGATGGCCTTCTTTCAGAACAACTTCTGGGTAAGTGTTGTTAAAGAGTATAAACTTTACAATCTTGTTATTACAACTGTCAGTAAAGATAGCTGTCCACATCAAATACCCTAACGCTAAATGATCTGCCTATTCTGTTTATGTTTTACCTGGTCATGAGATACTTGGTGTTTGAATTCTAACTTATTAAAGAGATTCATTGTGTCGCTGAACGTTACAGACACTAACACTGACTTTTGGAAAAACACCACCACCAAAATAAAGCAGAGAGTTTAGCCATTAGGACGGTGGGAAGTGTGCGTACACAAATCAATTTAGAGGAAAGGTGCAATATGGGAAAATAAATCTTAAACATTTACACACTGATTTTGTTTTAGTTTGAAGTCAAAATCAAACTTAAAATTGAATTAATTTCACAGCCTTATTCGCTTATACCCTGCCCTCGTCTGGCTGCAAAAACAATGGAGATCGATCCTGTGTTCTAGCTTCTGCTGTACAGAAAGAACCTGATTATTTTTGTAGACAAAGATATATCTCTTTCAACAGTATTGAACTTCTTTTAATTTTGTTTTTTCTGTAACAGTTGTAATTAGTTCCAATTTGCTGTTACCCCAGTTTGCCTTTTAATGAGGTTTCATACTTTTTTAGATTAGAGTATGACTTTGTTTGATCTGGTCTGGTCTGTGCTGATGTTCTCTACTAAGTCAATCACCAATCGATCACCAATCACCATTAGTTAAATATTCATGACCAAAGTCAATATTTGCTAACAACTACATCAAAACCTAGCAAACTTTATCACCATGTATTTTGTTAAACCTTTGGGAAGTTAATATTCACAAAACCTGTTTCAATTACATAATGTATTTTCATTGTGTTTTTATACTCTTGGTCACCACTCAATGTTCCATGTTTTTGCCTTATACTCGTGCTCACCCACCATCCAAATGTTGCCAACACAGCTGCCAAGAGTGGTGTCAGGGTTGGCCAAGAAAGATTTTGCATCACACTCCTGACCCTTCTGGTGGAAGGTTAACAAACCAAAAAAAAACCCCAACTTTGAACAGATGTTTAAGGTGAAGAAGTGAAACTTGTTTCATCCCCAATCATCAGAAGTCCAGCCATGTGTGACTTTGTGACATCATGGTTCTCTTTAATCCTCACTCTCTCCTCTGCACACCTGCCGCATCTATTTCAGGTGTGTCCTACTTCTCCTCTCAGGCCTCCTTTGACTTGGATTTATCCACAGTAATTTTTCAGCAGTTCAACCAAAGTGAGAGAAACTGACTTAGAAAAAGCAATGGGAATTGTACAGCCCTCAAAATGCAATCGTGATGAAGAGTAGTTCTTTCTTCTTTCACCTTGATGAGTGATGATCAGAGCTGGGCTTCAGTTCTTGTCTTGGCTTCTTTGTGTGACCCATGGATGGTGTCAAAACTTCCAGTCCAAACCAGGACCTCGGCAGGCAGGGTGTGTACTTATGCTTCTATAAATGTGTTCTCCACCCACCCTGCCTTCAGACACCAACAGCTATGTAATACAAATCAAGCCTTTAGTTAATTATCTTGCACAGCCACCTGGGAACTGGTCTCGCATACACACACAACCTTGTTTTGTTTGGCTTAAGAACACAGCCACTCACAAACCCTCCCAATGGCACACAGTCCTTTTCCATTAAGTTTATAATGGCCCACTTGGTGAAACCCAACAGGTAGAATTAAGTGCATCTTGATGAGTCTCAGTAGGATAACTTTTTTTTATGCCGTTATTATCTTTAAAAAATCTTGAAGCCACAGAACTGTGTATAACTACAGTCATCAGGGAATTAATTCAATGGAGAGAGGAGTCATAAAATGATAAAAATATCCAGGAAGAATAAACTTGCTAAAAATAAATCTAAGTTTATCATCCATAAGAGGTTCTTAGTAGTTTATTAGAATAAAGTTTATCATCCATAAGAGGTTCTTAGACAATATAACATATTATATTTAATATGTTGATGATAAACAGTTTTTTATAAATTTGCATTGATGTTTGCAGTCATTATGTTATGATTTATAATGAATATCATATTAATAATTATACTGAATTATCACAATATTTCAATTGGGGATCCTATGTTACACATTTATCTCACTATGATCATCCTAGGTTATTGAGTTACGTGACTAAAAAAAAAAAAAAGAAGTTACGATTGTAGTTGTTGTTGTACTCGAGTGTGTACACTTTATCCTAGACTTGTCATTTCACTGAAACATCTCCTTGTTTACCAGCAGATACAAGAGTCTGTTCACAGCCACACAAGTGACACCCAGTAGGGTTTTATTATGGTCTGTTTCTTGGCTCAGTGGTACCAGCGTTGCTATGATCCAGTCATTTTAACTCCTGGTGTTTTTCTCTGGAGGGCAAGAACAGTGAACACACACAGTGTGAAATTCTTTTTCTCTTTTACTGTTCCTTGACTTCTCCTTTACCACATTTTTATTGCTGTCATTTATTCATTCATCTCAGTGATTTCTCATGGATCTGCCCATGACATTTTAGTAATTAATCAATGACCCCTGTTAGATTTAATTATACCACTCTGTCCGTTGTTGTTCAAACTGCTTATCATAACCACGGTTATGCTTCTTCCAAGCAAAACAACACTATACAGTGAGATAAACGATGACGAACTTGCACTCGGGTTTTTGCAGCTTTTGTTTGTTATGACTAACAAGAAACCGGTTATTCTACGTCATTATTTGTATCTTTGTATTGTCCATGCTGTTTATTTAGTGATATAATTTTATAATTAATAAATAAATATGGGTTGTGTGAGAACCAGTTGAACCTCCACCTGTTTCAGTTTGACACTGAAATATTTACCGTGTTGGTGTTTGTCTTGTATCGCCCTTGTACCTCTGGTGCATTTCTGGGCTGACAAACACACAGTACCGTATAGTCGCAGAGGTGAATTTTCTCAAACTGAATTTCACTACAAATTGGTTTGGAGGCGTTAGAGATGACGGCCTGCTGCTGATGTTATTGACAACTCTCGGCTTTGGGATTGCTCATTCTGCTCAAAATGCTGAGTCGGCAGATAAAACTCTGAACGAGTCAGCAAAACGGAGGGGAGTACTGACAGGCTGGTCCGTCAGTTCACTGGATGGTGACCGATGAAGGGATTCACTGATGTAGTCACGGTTGTTACAATTGTAGAGAGATAGTTAAGTAAATCTATCTATCTTTACGTGTAGCACATAACTTTATTTTCGCGTAGCTTGGCTATTTTAAATGTTCAAAGCCTTAAGTGTTTAATTTGTGCTGAACATTTGCATAAACCAAACGGCTCTAACACAGCACTAACTCATTTAAAAAAATATTTTTTCAACTATGCTCAACGTAACAGTAGAAGTAAATGAACCAATATATTTTACACTGTCAAACTGTCATAGCACAAAAACTGATTTGTTTCATTTGATGCAAATTCTTCTTTGTCACCTTTTATCAAAAACCCCATTAACAATTGTAATAGCTTTTAATCCTTAATGGAATTAGCAGCAGTGCACTGAGTAGTTCTCCTCATTGTGTATAGTTCAGCCGAGTGTTCAGTGAAACATGACAGCTGTCATTCATGTATTATTCACCCTCTTTGAAAATTCATGCCATTGTGTTTGGCACGTATGAGAAGAGAATTTTGATGGTGAGGCACAGTTGACACACAGTTATTGAGTCACAGTTTGTTGTTAATTATTATGCGAGTTTTGTGACGGTCTTTTTTTAAAAGTCATATTTGTCCTGGCTCCTAAAGTTCTTAACACCAATAGCAGGTATAGCAAGGTCTCTATATTTGTTTGAGTGAAGCAGGGCCTGCAGCATTGTTTAATTTTGTAAATTAAATGGTGTTACTTTACCTGAAGAAAGGGTGAGACTCAGTTATATTTATTTAATACAAGAGCATTTTAAATGATCACAAATATTTTATTTTTTTTTTTACATCGGTGTATCAGTGATCAAGGTGAGGAAATGACATCCAAAAATTCTACTTACTGTTGATTTATCTCTTTAATGAGGTCTAAAACAACTGTGAGAATGAGGAGCTCCACAGTCTCCCAGTGAGCCTCAGAAGGTTTTCCTGTTATGTTTTTTAAGTCACAATACACAGCAGTAATGAGTCATTTCATTAAATAAAACTAGGTTAATCTGCAGTAAAAAAATCCATCCCTGCACCATATTCAAATATTGTCTAGTATACTGCAGTAAAAAAAAACCCATTCTTGCACCATATTCAAATATTGTCTAGTATTTTAGCAAATAAATGCAATGGAATATTTAAACCTTGAATATCTTAATCTGTATTGTATGGAATTCCTGCATTTTCTCACCATGAATCTTACCTGAGTATTACTACTGTGTAACCAACATGACCAACATATTAAAAGTAACTGAACCTGAACCATATTCCAACTTAATGCTTTTGTTGCGTGCGTATTTATTCATATGATATATTAAAAGTAACTGAACCATATTCCAACTTAATGCTTTTTTTTTTCTTACCACAAATTATTTAAATTATTCACCGTCAAAGACTATCCATCCATTTTCATCCGCTTATCCGTTACCGGGTCGCGGGGGCAGCAGTTGCCACCCAAATCACATTGCACCGTACCAAACCTTCCTGCGGGTGGTGAGTCCACTGGAAGGTACCAACCGCCCTAACCGGGATTCGAACTTGCCCAGGAGGTGAACCCTGGAGTTCCACACCAATGACAGAGACATTGCCTCTGGGCCAAAGCGCCACCCGTCAAAGACTATGTTTTCTGCTAACTTAGCCTTCTCCATTGACCATAGAAAATTCAATTACACAAACCTCTCACTGCCCCAATCACACAGTATGATCCAGTATGTCTTCCTGAGAAAGTTGTCCACAACCAGATTTTTTTTTTTTTTTCACACCACCCTTCCCCCTTTCCCATTTGTCCACTCTCCCACCATGCTTCTTATTATCATGGAAATGGACTTTACCATGCATGACCAAAATGGTCATCTTAATTGATGAAAAAGAAATCGGCGACGGGTGAAGAAAAGAGGTTTGGATAAATGAGATGTGAAGGATTTTCCCTTTTGCTGAATACATTGTGGCATCTAAGACTTTTGAAAATTCTCTGGGCTCCACATTTCTCCAGTCGATTTGCACTAGTCTTTACACTGTGACCACGAGTCAGTAGCCACTGTTAGGATTGATGGTTTTATCAATATAAAACCATCTTTTTATTGTTGTAGCATGGTAGTGTAGGGATACACTAAATGGATAAATTGTTTTTATTGTTGTAGCATTGTAGTGTAGGGATACACTAAATGGATAAAAACCTGAGACAAACCGGCTCACAAAGTTCTCTGTTGTCTGTCATAATATGCTAAATGTTCTGCAACTCATATATAAATATTAAGGATTTTTTCTTTTATAATAACAGTAACTTGAAATACAGAACTATTTTCTGGTATTGTTCCTCCTCTACTGTCTTTTTTTTTCAATTTCATTGATGTTAGACAGCGCTTTTAAAAAATACATCTGAGCACTGCTACCATCTTTTATACATGCTTGCATACAGACACGAGGCAAGTCTGTGTTGGCAGGTGTAGATGTGCTCTGTGTGTGTGTGTGTGTGTGTCTCAGTTCAGTATGGCAGATCATCTTTCTGTGTTGAGTGTTGAGTTTCAACAAAAGCTGTCTGCCAACTGCAAGGAAACCTAGAAAGAGTAATAGTCACTCTTTTCAAAAAGAACCCCAGCCAATGAAAAATATGAAGCAGCTGCCTGCTGACCCTTCCACTCTTTATAAAAAGCTAATGTCGAGGCATTCAGCCACTGTGTTGAAGAATACATTGTCCTGTTCTTCTTTAGGGATCAGAGAAAAGAGCAGTAAACACTAACAAACACCTTTTAAAATAACGTCTATTTTCCTCTGTTTGCAGGTGATGGTTTTTAATAGGTCTTCTCTCACCAGTCCCACAAATGTTTTTTGCCCTAAACACTGGTGTTGGTTGGTGTGTGTGTTGTGATGTGTGTACATGAGAGAGGAGTTGTGTGCGGTTTCGGGTGACCCTTCCTTGGCATTCCAGCCATTCCCCTGGTACCTGGGAACTGGTCTGTTCTATGATGGAGTATTTTTAGTATCTGAAAGGCAGCTGTCTGTGAATAGACAGACTGTCCAGCCATTGAGTGAATAAATTCTGTCTTGTCCAAGACAGAACACTTCACAGACGCCGTCTTTGTCAGGCACTATATGTATGGTGGAAGATTTTTAAAGGTCCAAAGCTCAGTACGCATCAAGCCAGGAACAAAGCCGATGGCTGACAAGTTGATTGACACAATGACCAATTGGATTGTGAGGGACTGTGGACTGATTAATATTTTGGAGGTCAAAGGCTTCACCAAAGTTTTAAAACTCTCATTGCTGTCAAACTACGCTCTGTGGCTTCCTGGAGACTAAGTTATGTCATTGTTTTAGTTTTCAGCCATTGCTGTTGAATCAATAGGGTTTTTTAAAACAACTTTTTCTGGAGGTTTTGTGCATCATTTCTTGGAGTGGTAAATGGATAAGGGCCAAGACTGCAATCTGGAAATTTGGATGAACATTGATCAAATATTGGGAAATTATTTATTTTAAAGAATAAAAAGCCTACAACATTACAGTTTGTGACATAATAGCTAACCCTCCTCTGGGTTAGCTATTATGGCGTGCAGCCATGCTAAATCTACAAATAATTAGTTCTCCTTCATACTCTCTATGCCCGTTTTGCCTTGTACATGAAGCTGGCTTGTAGTAAAGTAGTGCAAACTTCACATGAACGTCAGTGGCACCACGGAGTGACACCTCCTAAAACCAAGCATGTGTGATAGTGGTAAAACCAAGCACCGAAGCATCAACTGACATTTCTATCTTTAACTTTATCATGTTGGTTAACTGTTCTCGCCTGGATGCTAACAGTGTGTTTGTGTGTGCGTGCGCTGTATCTCTGCAGGGGGAGAAGAATGCCGGCTTTGACGTGCTGTACCACAACATGAAGCATGGCCAGCTGGCAACCAAGGAGCTTGCAGAGTTTGTCCGTGAGAGGTAAGGTTTTTGTGTATTTATGAATATCTGTGTGGGAGGTGGCGGTGGTGTCGACGTGACCATGTGGAGAAATTCTTGACGTGCACTGAGGAAGGGAGACAAGGGATTCTGAAACCCTCAGAGAATCTCATGCTATGAATTGCATCTTAATCCATTTTTGCCGTGTTCTTGCCTCACCCCGTATTAAATGCCAGGATTTTATTGACTGTTTTTATTGAAAGTCTGTGGCAACCACAAGAAACACAAAGTGGTTTTGACAACTCCAGTGATACTCACTCTGCCTTTTATTTATTTTTTTTTCCCCCATAAATGTTGACTCAAATAGACTTTTCCTGTGACATTGAGCCTAATTTATTTCTAAGTGATTTTATTATTTTGATGTCTGCAGTTTTATCCTCTGTAAAGTTGTGGGATGAGAAATCAAAGCTCCAACTGAACAGGAGAAATACATTGTACACACTGGGACAAACAACTAATAAATTCACTTTGACAATGAAACTAGTCCTGTTAATAAAGTCTATCTGCATGAGTTTAGAATGTAAAGACTAGGGCAGCTGCAGACACTTGTTTCAGAAATAACATCTGCTTGATGCGTTATATTTAATCTCTTTCATTGATTACCGTATTGATGAGTAAAATGCAGGCAGTAATTACTTTCTCACGGGGGTTTGTTACTCTCACAACTAAAGTTTAAAAAAAACGCAGCACCAGCTGAAATCAACCAGAAATTGACTCACAGCCACAGCACATTCCTCACAGGAGGGAATTCAGTTATCTGCAGCGGACAACAAATCAAATGTCAGGAAATGAAAGATGCTGCACTGTGGGTAAAATTCTAAAAGATCCCAGGGGATGGTGGAAAAGGCACATTATCTCTAGGTTCTACATTTTCACTGAAGGGTTGAATTTAAATGACAAATTGCATGTGTCGGTCATTTCACTGACTCAAACAACTGCTTCAACAAAAATCCTATTTGATGATCGTAACAAGTGCGGCTTTTGACTCATTATGTTGGTTCAAAGAATGTCTTTAATGAATGCCATAATTACATTTTTTTATTAGCAGTTTTCCTGTGAAGGTCATCAGTATTAAGAAATAATTAGCTGTCGATAATTTTCTTTTTAGAAGTGTCTGCATCAACTATACTAGTGACTATCTTTAGAAACATATACATAGAAACATATACAGAAATATGCTAATTTTCAAAAGAGCATAAAATAATTTCTCTCAACATTCATTAACACAAACCCAAACCAAAAAAAACCCACAAAATAATTTTAATCAAATTCTAAGATTCTTCACAAAAACAAAGAGTTTGGAGACTAACTCCTGCTCCCTTGGAGTCTGCTGCAGTTTTTACTGCACTGTGTACAGTGTACAGTGGCCCAGAGCTTCCTCTGTCCACATGACCTGTCCATCTCCAAGACAATATAGAGTTTGACGTTCAGTTGTTGGCTCTGTATCCCCCAGCAGCTTGTTGTTCCGTCTGTTCTCCCTCAGGATAATTGGATCAATGCTCCGACTTTCTTTCTCCTTAGGGTCTTCAGATGCTTATTAAAGTTTAATGTCCAGACTCACAAAATGAGCTCATTCATCATTTAAATGTGGCTCGTTGCAGCGTTTACCCAACATGAAAAATAATTCATCTCTCGCCCGCAGAATACCGAGGTGGATGCCTATTATTTTAAGGGTGCAGGAGTCCATGACACAACTGTCCAAGGGCTGTTTTAAGACATTTGTATTAACAAGACATATACTGTATCTCACTGTTGTGCTACTGCCTGCATACACTTTAGAAAGAAAACAAAAAGTATGTAATAATGTCCTCTGACAGGTTGTGACATGTCTGACACAATTGGATTCAACAACCGGAAAGTTAATTTAAATATGTTTTTGTTCTTTTTACAGGGTGGCCATTGAGGAAACGTACTCCAAATCAATGAGCAAGTTGGCAAAGATAGCCAGTAATGGAAGTCCACAGGGGTAGGTAACACAGTGATAACGCCACAGCTTCTCCCACTCACCTGACTTTATCTAGTTGTGCTTCCTGAAGTGTAATTCGTAGGAGAAGAAGAAGATAACCTTATCGTTAAATTAAATCACTGGTTTCAAGTGACTAAAAGAAGGAAAGATTTTAAATTCTCTCACTGTCCGATAGGACACTAGCAGGTTCACGTCTGAGTTACTCGCTGCATGCACATAAACCTTATACCTCAGAGCCTGTAGGTCACCGAGGACAGGTTTACTCCAGGTCAACCACGTCAGAGCCATGGGAGTGAAGCAGTGAAGTAGTTTCTTTTCATAGCTTTACAACTGTTAACAAACTCCCTGAACATTTGAGCTGTACATAAACAGTCAGTTCTGTGAATCCACTGCCAAACAACAGTTATTGTTGTGCATCAAAAGAAAAACTTAAATGTAAATATTTGTAACCAGGAGGAACAAACACTTCAAACACAATGAATCATTTCCTGTCTGTTTGGATTGAGTTTTTCTTTTTGTTTTATTCAAATGTGTTTCCTAGGACATTTGCTCCCATGTGGGATGTGTTCAGGGTATCCTCGGACAAACTTGCCCTCTGCCACCTTGAGCTGATGAGAAAGATGAACGATCTCATTAGGGACATCAACAAGTATGGTGACGAGCAGGTCAAAATTCACCGCAAGGTACGTAAGTCACTTGTATTTGAAATGTGAGACGAATTTGCCAAAGGGCATGCATGCAAGCTGCAGAAATATTGATAATAACATAATTATTTATATGCATCTGTATTTCTGTGTGTTACCCAGACAAAGGAGGAGATGGTGGGGACAGTGGAGGCAGTGCAGGCTCTGCAGGTTCAGAGTGGTCACCTGCAGAAGTCCAAGGAGAGTTACCACGCAAAGTGTCTGGAGCTGGACCGACTCAGGAAGGACGGGGCTCCTCAGAAGGAGCTGGAGAAGGTGAGGCAGTCTTGCCTGTAGCATTGGTTTCCACTGGCTGTTGAGGGGAAAAAAAGACAGACTAAAAGACATTTTAGTCAAAGAAGTATCAGTGAGTCTCTCTTTACCTGCCTCGGGTTCAGTTTGGAAATGATGTGAGGCTTCCGTTAATCCATGGCCATAATATAATTTGGTCATTTACTGCTGTTTTTAGCTCTAACGTGGATCTAATTATCTTTGGTTTCACATCCTAAAGTGCACTTTGACACATTAGATTTCGTGATCACATTTTTCATTTTTCATTATCCTACCTAAAGAGACTTTATCATGTGATGAACTGTTATTTCATCACACGCTGTCCCATTTCAAGTGATTGATGACAAATGTCTTTATGGTTCACACTCGTCTCTTACCATGATATTTTGTCCCACCTTTAACACGTTGTTGCCATAGACAGTTATATACCTTTTAGATAGAAAGTGTAGCCGTTACTACTGCAGCTGAAATGTGTTTTGTGAATGGAAGTACTGCAGTAGTTGAAAGGTAAAAGTCATCCCTGCTTCCATCCAACCATTCCTTTCCTCTTCACTAGGCGGAGCTGAAGTCTAAGAAAGCGGCCGAGTCATTTGCGTTGTGCATCGAGAAGTACAACCGTGTAGGAGGAGAGTTTGAGCAGAAGATGAGCGAGTCTGCTCAGGTCAGTCCAGACCCCGGCTGCACCCCGTGCCACTTCTTTGTGCATCACACCCACCTTTGGTTTCATGGATTTACTCTTCTCTGTGTCTTTGTCTTTTTTTTCATCGTAATGACTCACTCTCTTTATAACCTCACCACCACCACACCAGCACTCGCTCTCATTCTTTTGACTCTTATACCACATCTTGCCTGTGCCTGAAAATGGAAACCTCATCCCCAGGACTCCTAAACACTCATTCTCTGGTGCACCCCACTCATTTCCTTTAATCACTGCCTCCGCACGTCCACGGTTGCAGCTGCAGTTTCCATGGACATTTTTAACTGAGCCCAGCGAGCGATCCTCTCTTCTACATTTGCACTGAAGACAGAACTCTCAGACAGAACTATCTCTTGTTGTTGCCCTGATGAAAATAGTCTGGTCGCAAATGCACTCGGTTAACAGACTGTCCAGATTCATGGTATTAGAGCAGATAGGTCAGAGGAGATCATTTAGGACGTGACAAGATGATGGAATAAGAATTTGATAGAATAAAATAGAATAATGTAGTATGACAAGTAATTTTTAGACTAAACAACAAAGATAAATAATAAAGATGACATTCTAGATGCTGCTGACCAGGAGATATTTTTTTAGGATTTTTATTAAATGTGATTTTTAAAACACATCAGTTTGGGTTCTTACATGGATCCAAACAAATGTGAACTTTGATCATGATTTTACCTAAAATAATAATAATAATCATCATGAGTGAGCAGAAAACCCAGCAATGCTCTGGCAGCACTGTGACATTTTAATGGACTCGCATATTTAAAAAAAAAAAAAACTGCCTCTGATAATAGCAGGAAAATTCCTGTCAAACTCATGGTACCATGGTTACCCTACAGTAGAAATACACAGCGCTTCTGAAATCTGATCCTCATTCATTTTCATTACATGTTTATGATCCAGCTTTACTATCCATTTTGATTTTCTCTTTTTTTTTTTTTTACATGTAAAAATCTGCTCAAAATTGTGTCCACTTTTTTTTTTTAATGCTCTGTTGCCATTTAGTGGGTCAGTGTTAAATTCTTTAACCCTGTTAAAAGTACAAAAGTGCTATTCATTCATTTTATGGAGTTTAAGGACACAGCTTTATATTCCCCTTCATCCACTTATCCACAAGTGTGTGTCAGTGGCTGTGAAATCTGGAGCAGTGGCTCAGGACAAATGGGAGCTTTCTACACAAGGTTGGCAGCACTTGTGTTTTATGTCTGAGCTCTCAGCCCAGATTTTTCTCGGCTAATTGGAGAAAGGCAGCTGGCAAAACTCTGCTCACAGCCAGCAAAAAAAAAGAAAAAGGTCTCAGCTGCTGCATCAAGACCATATTCCTGGATCAGGCAACAACAAATGAACTGCGACAACAAAGAGCAGGATCAAACTGAAATCCTGTCAGATTATCGCTGATTCAGCACACTCGGAGAATCCCACTGCCACCTCTGTTGGCCTCTTTTTAAGATGAACGGGGTAGCTTTAAAATGTTGTCAGAATTATATTTACTTATAGAGAAGCACAAAAAAAAATATTTTAACCCTTCTGTTTTATAAGAATTTGTTTTCATGTGTTTCCATCTTTGCTTTATTTTTTAAGTCAATGAAGACGTAAAGTAAAACATAGGTAGAGTTTATAAGATTTCATGTGGTAACATATTTGTCCTTGTGTGTGACTGTGTGTATGTTTGGTTAAGTAGACATTTCAGGACATCGAGGAGTCTCACCTGAGACAGATGAAACAGCTGATCAAAGGCTACTCCCACCCCATAGAAGACACTCATGTCCAGGTCGGGCAGGTGAGAACACACAGAAACCATCAGACATCTACTTACTAAATATTACGTTTAACACTTTTTTTATGTCTAATGTCATTGTCAATAGTCTGTTGGTCAGTTCATTACAGGAGTGCTGTATTTTTTTACTGTTGAAATGACCAGGGTAAAGTGATTTGTCTGCAATGAAAACCTTAAATAAATATGAACTTATGTGATGTGAACCTACCTAATATATACATTGTACGTTGGAGTACTGATTAAATACATGTAGCTGTATAATAATAATATTGGTTAGTCAAATCAGTACAATCCTGTTCTTCGTCTGCCGCAGGTGCACGAGGAGTTCAAGCAGAATGTGGAAAACATTGGCATCGATAACCTCATCCAGAAATTTGCTGAGCAGAAGGGCACGGGAAAAGACAGACCAGGTGAGGAGAGTCGACCGGAAGAAAATCTTAATGCTTTTTGGATTGCTGCTCTTATTTAATCACATGTTGTGCTGATTATTATGATTTAATTTCCTGGATTTATTGTTAAAATATATGTTTAAAAAAACCTTGTATATAATAGTGGTGTGTGTAGAGAATAGGCTTCTCTTCATTAATGTAGATAATGTTAATACAGTGGTTTGAGGAGTTGTTTTCATGCTAATATTTTTGTGAAAACACAATGCACTTAAGTGGAAGGGAGCAAACAAATGAAGACATCCTCGCTGATGACGCACACGCCTACGTTCTGTGTGCTTGTGTGTTTGTTTGGGAATGTGTTATTATGTGTGGTGGTTTATTTTTTTTCTCAAACTGACTGTTAATGTTGCAGCTCTGGCTGGGTTTGAGGAGTACATGACAGCTCTGGCACCTGAAGGTGTGAAGAAGAGTCGGGCTAAAGCATTCAGGCTCCCAGGGCTGGGCAGGAAGGACAAGGAGCCTGATTTTACGTGAGTGCTTTGTGACGCACAAGTTAACACACTTAAAACATCAGGAATCAGTTTGGAAATTTTCACCCGGGATTAAGAAGAGGAATTGTCCATAAAAATCATGTTCACTTCTTTGAATTTTTTCTCACCTCATGTCCTGGTTACAAATCATCTAAAAATCAAATGTTGATTCTAATTCTATGTCGTGTGTTTCTGCTCTTTTGCAGGGACTCAGCAGTGACTGAGGCTCTGGTGAGTATCTGACATAATGAACACTTAACACTGAAGCTGCTGTTAGACGGTGTTTAAGAACATGAACATGAATGTGAGTGTGTGTGTCTGTGTTTATCGTGTCATCATGAGTGTGTGACGGTACCATGACTTGAAGGTGTGGGTTTCCCAGGTTTATTTCTGGACTTCACTGAAGAGGTTTAGGAGATAGTCTGGCAGCTGTACAGGAAGTGTGTGTTGGTTTGTACGCCTGTGCGTGCGTGCGTGTGTGGGTGTATGTGTGACGGGATATGTGTAAGTGAAAGGGCTTTGTACACTGCCAGGAAACCATCAAACAGACTGTTGTCAACATCAGGTCCCAGAGCTGCACAAGTTCATATCTAACACTTTCAAGGCGGTTGGTTTTTTTTTTTTTTTTTTTTTTTGTACTCCTACATGGCAGCCATCAGTACATCAAGTAAAAAAAGTTTGTGCTGGTGTTTTCATCAGTCCAAAAACATGCAGAATTAAGTTAATTCAGTACTTCTCAAATAGTCACTAGGTGGCAGCAAGTCACACAGTGGTTTGTACAAATAAAAAAAAATAAACGTGATCGGGTTGTCAATAGTATTTTAATTTGCAAGGGTCTGTTGGAAGGAGTGAGAGAAGGGACGTGGCAGAAATTAAATTGAAAACCTCTGGGTTAATTAGACACGACCGTAGGTTAAAAACCTGAGGGTTAATGCTTATTTTGTGTTCATATGTAGTCCTTGTCCTCCACCTCTTCAACCACTGACTGCAGTGGTCCACACCCCTCACCTTGATCTAAAAGAATGAAAAGCACTAGGCAATGGATGATGGTGGACAACTATGAATTAGTCATCCATTTTTGAAATTACATGAATAGTCAGTGGAGACTTTATTATCTTGAAGAGTTGACATTACCGTCCGTTTTTGTTTCTGTTTATCTCACAAATGGACAGAGAGAGAGACAAGTAAACAAGTCTGTTTATCTGAGCTTCTCTGGCGTGAGCCGAGGGCTGGAGTCCAACCTTTTCATTTTATCATGATTGAAACATCATTTCAATTACAACTCGTGTGTAGTTTTTCCCTTTTTTTCCCTCCACGTTCTTGTTCTTGTATCCAAGCTGCCACTCCAGTTCCATTAACACTGTAATAGACCTTAACTGGACATTTCCGGTTTGGCTTTATGGGCTGCAGTCACACTGGGCATGTCTATTTGGCCTGCTGAGATCTGATTACTGACATCAGAGCTAATGAAATGCCATCTGTACATGTCCTGCTCTGTCCCAAAATAACTGCCCAGACCTGCACCAGTGCCACAGTGTCCATCAAGGTTCTAGGTGAACACAGCTGACAGACTCACCGGTGATAATGCACTGCTGTAACATTTACTTTATGTGCTGAATGGTAAATGAGGGGCCAAATGCCAAGTGCATACAGTATTTTAAAATATTTTATTGGATGTTTCTTTTGCCATTAGCTGATTGTATGCTGCTGACCTTGTTGCACCTTTCCATTTACCTCAGACCTGCTATTAACAAAGTTAATATATTAAATGTAAAATACAGGAAGAATTAAACACATTGGCTCTACATATTTTAAATTCTGTTTGACTGTTGTCAGCATAATGTTTGATTTGTAAAAATGATCGAGTTGTGTGGTCGTTTGTCCTTTCATGCAGAATTCCCCTCTTGAAGTAGATGATGAAGGATTTGTGGTCCGAGCCGACAGCACTCAAAACGATATCCTTTCTCATGTTCCAAAAAAATGTTTTGTTTACGAAGGATTTACACTTTGTTTGTGAATTGTATCAGAGCTTGATTGGTTGACATGACACCAGCGCCTCATTAGAACTCTGAAAAGACTCCTGACGGAAACAGAAACTTTCAGGCATAATGAGCCAATTTCTTTACCTTAATGTCCTCATTAACGACAGCGAGACAACCATTAACATCTAAACTCGCGTGTGTCGTGTTAATGTGCTGCAGCAGAGAAAGTCCAGACACTTGTTTATCAGCACTAACTCTGAGTCCTGACAGAATCTGAGATAACGTTTCCTGCTTTTGTTGCGGCTCTGTCGGGTGCAGCCGCAGCTCAGGATCATCAAAAGGCCCCGGTGCAGCGCATGTCTGTCTGATTTCCTCAATCTCCAGTAAAACACGTGACCTGACGAAACACAGCACAGAGAGGATGGTGATGAAAGAAGGAAGGTGACTTTGTTACCAGGGGTGATGGTGAGACAGGAAATGTCGGTCTGTCTGTTTGGCAGCTCTACTGTCGTCTGTGCTGCAGTTCCTGCTGTTTGCCTGAACCTTTTTTTTCTGATTTCTGAAGTTTATTAAACTCATGAAAAAAAACAAAAAACTTTATTTTCTTTTCAAGGGAAATGTGGTATTTTATTAAATAATAATCAACGACAGAGCAGAGGTAATAAAACCTGTGCTGTAATACATCATGCCTTTTTTTCCAGTTGTTTTTTTTTTGAGGGTTCTGTTTTTAATAAAAGTACAATAACAGTTTTGTCTTGTACAATCCTTTTTCTTGTTATTGCAACAAGCCTTTGCTTGTTTTCCTTGACCTTCCGTCTCTACGCTGCTCTGATGAGAAGGAGAACAACTTCTACTCCAGTGATTCCGATTTTGACGACGAGGAGCCCAAAAAGTTCCACATTCAGATTCGACCAGTTGCCACTAGTAGCCGCAGCAACCTGGCCAACACTGACAAAGAGCTGAAAGCCACCGTCGGGGTGCTCAGCCTGCCTCCCAACAGAGGTGTACGACAGCAGGTGGAGTAATTTTTTTTTTTGTTTGTTTCACTCATGAAAAAAACATTGTGGGAGAGTTACAGTGATATTGGTTTTTTACATATATATATGTATATATATATAATATATATGTAGATTATATCTTAGCACCGTGGAGAATGTGTTTTTCACAGTTCTGCTAATGTGAACATCCAACATTGGAACAAAATGTCCATGTGGCTCAGAGAAGAGTTATCAGACAGACTTGGTTCTTTTCTCTTTATCAGCAGAAACTAATGGGCTCGAGGGCCACGGTTGAGCACAAGGAAATCTATAATTAAGGAAGCAATTAGCACAAAGTCCAAACCAGGAAGAAAAAAAAAGCAATAATGAACAATGGCGTTGTTTAAGTAAATGCATTGAAGCAGTTTTTTTCTGTCTCTCTTTCTGACTTCCAGGTGCCAGTCAAGAGACATCTTTCCAGTGAGTTTTGTGTTTAGTAATTGTTTTGTATTAATGTTTACTTAAGAAAGTACACTGAGGTGTACTGTGTACTCTGTGGTTTTTGTATTGTGTCCTTGACGCACACTCCTGAAAACCACTGTTTTTTTTTTAAAGGAAATTCAAGTACTGCAGGAGGCCGACCAGAAGAGGGTGATGTTACCTCCCACAGGGGTGAGACTAATTCTTATCCCTCTTGTTCAGTGTCATGTACATTTATTAATTCTTATTCCATTAAATAGCTTCAATTAAAAAACAAAATGCCAAATTTTTACTCTGACAGTAAATGATTTACAAACTGACCTCAGATCAGCCCTGCTTTGCTCCACCACATGTTGTATTATTGATTATTCATTTGCCGCCACAGGGTCAGAGACATTAAACAACCCGCTGAGGACTCTCTCCCTGCGTCTCCTTCGCTCCGTCTCTCCTTCTGTCTCCCTCTTTCTCTCTTCTCTCTGTGGAGTTGACTGCATTAACCAAGAAGAACTAATTAAAGTGGTTGCTCTCAGGGTCTTGAACTGAATTAGTCAACTCCTTGTTTTCCTTGTTAGTGTTTATTACAGTGATGATATTGCCGATGGGTTTTTCTTCCTGTGCCGTCTCGTTCAGACCCTCACATGTTGCTCTGACTAGAAACAATGTGCCGTTCGTTAGTTCTAATTAGGGAAGAGAAAAACCACGGTCTAATCTGTCGGCTGTTTCTTCACAGATGGAGAGCAGGAAAGCCTGCGCCGCTCCACCTCCAGTCCTGATCACAGCAGGTGAAAAATGAATCTGATTTTCTATCGTCTCACCCATCTAAACCCTCACCCATTTCATCGACAGCTGTTTCTAACTTTCCTTTCAGCCTTCAAGCCCTTTCAGTTCTCTCGTGTTTGTTGTCTTCAGGTTGAGCTCCACTGTGTCGGGGTCAGACAGTCTCTTTGGACCTCCACTGGAGTCTGCCTTCAAGTCCAAGAGCTTCGATGGTCGGGAGCAGCTCAGAGATCACAGTTTTGCTGCCTCTGAATGTAAGAGTGATAAATACATTTTTTTTTTTTTCAAACTTGTGTTGTAGGAATTCCTACTCTTTTTTGTTTTTCTTAACGCTCTCTGTCATGTGACTTTTTTTCTGTCAGATGCTGCCTTCTCATCTGACTCTTCCTCTCCTGAGAACATCGAAG